ATAGAGTTGACAAGGTTCAATCCATAAAGAGAAATGACCCCAAACACCCCGATGATGGCCGTGTTTATTGCTTATCTCAACCGGAGGGGTTTATAAATATTTTTGAATGCCATCCAAGCTCCACTCAAATATCCAAAATCCATTTCAAACTATTCAAAATGTCCTAAAATTTCTACAAAATTCAAAAATCCACAAAAAGCCCAAATTCCATATATTTAAAAATGAAATCAAACCATCAAAAACTTAAAAGCAAAATCCATCCACCCTCCGCAACAATTTGCCGGGGCGGACAAATTAAAGTTTACTTCAGCTTACAAAGAGCCAAATGCCTAGTCGAAAATATCACTAGGATCCATTCGCAAACAATCTCTTGTCAGTAAGGACGTGGTACGTGTCCTCTAACCGGCAGTTTCGCCGCCAAATGGCACTGCAGGTAAACGGTTATTACCCGGGGCCCTCTGAACCGAGTGGTTTTGCCGCCAAATGGCACCACAGATAGCGGTTATGGCCAGAGCCAATACGCTCCTTAATGACGTTAAATCCTTGAGATATGAATCAATAGGATATGATCGATAGGGCACAAAGCCCTCTGTTAGCTAAGGTGGATTCAAATTTGTCCTCTTACACAAGCATTCAACCCCGGTCTACAAGGTCCCCTTGGACGAAGCAACCCTTGGCTGCCGACAAGGATCCTTATGTCAGGTTGGGTCGACTACCTCCTCTGACTAAGTAGACCAGGGACCACGATGGCCCGGTATGACGGAACCATGGGATCTTGATCGGGTCTATCATCCATTCCCCCACCATCCGCTTTAAGTGCAAGATGATGAAATTTCTATTTTAAATATTAAACCTTCCAAAACCACCAATCTCAATCATTCAAATTCCAATTTCCAAATCCAAATCCATTGCTGCTACTATATGCCAGATAACACGTATTCTATACGTATCTGATTGACGACTAGCCTTAATCGAAAGTTCTCTCTCGTTACCGGGAGAGGTAATTAACTATAGGGGCTTGAGCCTATAGGAAACCAGAACTCAGATCATAAAGTCTTCAAAAAATGAGGGCGAAATCTCTGGGTAGTGTTTTATCTACAAACCCATCTGTCTTCCAAAATTTACCTCGGAACTATTCAGTTAAAACTCCCTCGTCAAATAAAAAGAAAAGCGGGCGGAGGCCGGGGCCGAATTTTCGGAGCCCACAGAAAGGTACAACTATATTTGGTCAGGGAGGCAAATTGAATCGTAGATATATAGGACCCTTTGAAATTACTGAAAGAATTAGAAAGGTTGCTTATAGACTTGCTCTTCCAGCAGACATGTAAGATATTCATAATGTTTTCCATATGTCATTGCTCAGGAAATGGGTCACTGATGCCCATTAGAGAATTTCACATGATGAAATTGATCTACAAAAGAATATGATGTATATTGAAGAACCTGAAAGACTAATAGGTTTTGATACTAAATAACTTAGTAACCGTCAAATCCCTTATGTTTTTTAGGAGAAAGAAGAAGGCATTATATTGAAGTTTCCTCAGTTATTTGATGGCCCTTAAGACAAGAAATTTTGAGGACGAAATGTCTGCAAGGAGGGGTGGATTATAATAATCAAAGTTTTGTCAAATATAAGCATGAATTTCTTCAAACTAACAGCATATCCATATTTAAACTATGAGCTTAATAAAATATTTCTATATTCAGCTCTGTTATAGGCATTTCAATGTCACATTTCATTAACTCTAGCTATCATGACTTATGGCAAGAAACCAATGAACCATTTATTTAAATGCATTACTGTAGCAAACTCACTTAAAACAACATGCAGAGGCCGGATGTAATCACACGGATGGGAGTGGGGGAAAGTGTTGTAGTGAAAATATGTGGCAAAGCATTAGTATTAGTTTAGTACTATATAATAAAAGTTAAGTTAAAACTTTTGCATTGGTTTCATTCTTTTTCTTTTTCCTACAAGACTTTCTCTAGAGGTGGCAATGTCTGGGAGCTCAAGCCGTAGGCTGTAAGGGGAAGTGAAGTTGCTTTTGTGGAGAAAAATTCATAAATAATGGAAAAATAAAAGGGAGAATGAGAAAAGAGAGATAAGAGAAGAATGTTGAATGTAATGAAAAAGAGTTTAATTGAGGTGGTGTACAAAAGGAAAAGAAAGGATACTCTAGGAGAACCAATTCCAAGTGAGATGGGATACCCAAACAATGTTATAAGAATTGGTAAATGTTCTATTTAAGTTCACTTCATTTTTTATTATATTTATGATTGCATTTATTTTAGTTCACTTTAATATTTTTGTATGAACATGAACGGACATGTATGAAATTGTTCATTTATAGAGTAATGTTTATTAATATTAAAGATTTTGTAAACATAAAATGATAAAACTATTGAGCGCGCCAAAGCGTAATAAAAGCGCAGTAAAAGCACAGCTAAAGGGCAGCCAAAGCGCTGTAACAGCCAGCTAAAGTGCAGTAAAAACATAGTTAAAACGCAGTTAAAACATAGCAAAAGTGCATCAGAGTTGTGAAATTTTAAACCACGATGTTTATCAAAGCATATGTCAAGAGGGCTAAAAAGGATGACTATGGGGAAAGTGAAATAAGTCATATATGGGGGATAATCCTGCACAAGTAAAAGTGAAAGACCTGACGAGGTAAGCTTATACTCTCAATTCTAAAAATTGGGAATGAGAGAACAGTTCTTAATTCTAAAAGTTGAGAATTTAGACTCAACTTTGAATTGAAAAACTGAAAAAGTGCAAAACCTATAGCCATCTTATGTTGGTTTAAAGGGGTTGAATAGTCTTGGCAAGATGAATAGTACTATTAGGCACTTCTTATGCTCAGTATGACATTTCAATATGTCTTTTAACCATGTTAGTATTGTTAAGCCTTTCTTAATAGTTAACAATGTTAATAAAAATTTTTATACATTGCTTGTATATTCATTGAGTCCTAGCTCATTTGTAGTGGATGTACTGTAGGAATGGGGAAGGAGCCCTTGGAATAGTAAGAAGGGGTGATTGTCTTTTTGGTGTATATACGTTTTATTTAAAATTTTTAGTAAAGCTCTGTTTCATATAAGATGCATGTCTTAGTTGAGATATATTTTCTATGCTTTCTATCATGAATATCTTGATGTGTTATGATTAGAGGGGGGTTTAGGATAGTTTGAATAGACTACTTTTTACTTATCTAATTCTGATATTAGTGTTTCAGAATGGGGGTAAGTAAGAAGAAAGGTCAATTAAAATTCTCCTTTCTCTGTTACACTCTAATTTTACTGTTGGAGGATTAAATGGGGTGTGACATCGAATCTGTCAGAATTTCTGTTCATATCGGTTGAAATTACGCATGTTGGGGGGGGGGGAGGGTGTGGGAGGTTTGGTCATTTCGCCAAAAAATTGATGGCTATGCTAATGATTTACTGGCAGATTAACTTCCCTGTAATTTTGGCAGATTTGTTAGATGGAAATTTCTGACAGATTCAACCTGCTGGAAATAGTTTTGACGGACTTCTCGTAGCTTTGCATTGATGGATTTCTGTGCAAAATTCTGCCGAAAATCTATAACAAAAATTTGAAAAAATAGTCCTTTTATATAGTTTTTCTCACGATTACTATAAACAAACGGTTACTATAAACAAACATCTTTTAATAACAAATCAATATATCATAATAATATAACATTAAACTGAATCATTTTGAATAACAATTTTATAAAAAGCAACTAATTAGACAACCAAATGGTGGATTCTAACATTATATTCAAATGTCTTGAATTAATGCATTACATAAAAAATATGAACATATACATAAGAAGAAGCACATATAAAACTGTTAGAACTTAATAATTAGATGATAGCATACAAAATAAGTAAAAGTATTTATTCAAACGTGTGATATACTAGAAATAATTATAAATTATTGGATGATATATTAATAAATATGAAAATTTATTTTGAATATTTGTCTTAAAGAATTTCAATTATATTAATGTTATAAGATAAATGAAAGAAAAGATAATGTAATTTAATCTTTGAATAAAAGGATGGATCTAATTGAAATTCTATAATAAAAATAAGTTATTATAAATTTTCATATTTACTGATATATTAGTTAAAATTCCTTAAATTTTAATAATTTCTTTTAGATTTCTAAAATAGTTTAATGCATTGAAGTCATCACAATATTTTCTTACTTATCTACCAATTCCTTTTTTCTTTCTAAACATCTATATCCATATGGTATATATTTTTTTTCCTCGGCTTATAAAAATTACATTGAAGTAATAACAATATTTTCTTATTGTATAATGCTCCTCCACTTTAACTTTGGAAATTACATCTTCATTCATATTTCATTCTTTTGTATATCCTAATTCTAGCACGATAGGTATTAATTGAAGTGAAAACAATTTTAATGCAGCTCACCTTTGTCTGTTAGTTGGGAGCCTTGGTTACCAACTAAAAGATCTTGGGTTCGAGTTTCGTGTATGTGTTTTTTGTGTGTATGTCTTAATTGGCCTAAATGTTCCAAAAAAAAAAAACAATTTTAACTCTTAAAATTAATTTACATCACTAAATTTGCATTTCATTTTATTTGTTCGTACTCAATATGTACACAAATTTTAGCTACACAATAGTCTGAGAATTTAGGCAATTTTGTATATTTTAGTAATATCTATGAATTGCGTTCCCACTTTTTTCTTCTCCAATGTGTGCTTTACACATCTATCGTTTGAGTGGCTGATTATGATTCAATTGTTTAGATTCTTTGTTTGGAATTGTTGTTTCTTTCCTGCAGATATATGTTAATGTAGTCAGTAAGCTTTGATTTGCTGGGCATGTCGGAATTTGAATTACTATTGAAGCAAGCTAACTTTACACCCTCGAAGTTAGGCTTTTAGTTGAATGCTCAGTATTCACATCTCATGCATTCATGTAAAGTGAGCAAATACAATGAGATTCTATTTGCGCTAATGCAGGAGCGCTTGTTAAAGGATGATGCTAAAAAGGATTTCCTTATGATTCTTGGTAAACTTCCTTATGGATACTCTACATTCTTTTGTGTGAGGAAGATAGCTGACCCGATAGGTTTTCTACCTGGCATGATAATTTTGGGTGTAAATAAACGTGGGGTTAGTGCCGCTTGTCTAGTACTTTTAGCATATACATGTTAATCATAAAAAGCTTCTGAATATGATAATTCATAGCGCTTAAATTGCAGGTTCATTTTTTTCGTCCAGTTCCAAAAGAATACTTGCACTCTGTAGAACTTAAAGATGTTGTGCAATTTGGTAACAATAACACTTCAATTTTCTTTAAGATGAAGGTTTCTGGAGTGCTTCGTGTTTTCCAATTTGAATCTAAGCAGGTCTGGCATTTAGGCATTTGATTATTTAAGTTTTTTCTTTAATTTGGCAAGTCTTCATTTCTAGCCGCCAAATTTTTGAGCTAAACTCAAGGACTGATGAAAACATACAGGGAGAAGAAATTTGTTTTACTCTTCAAGCACATATAAAGGATGCCACTATCCTTGCAAACTCAAAAACACATAATTCTGTTGCAAAATACAGTGAAGGGTATGTGTCTGAAGATGCCAACTCTCCAAGACCGGATATGTATGAACAACGTGTGCAAGAGTTATCAAAAGCTGTTGAAGAATCAAATAAGAATGCTGATAAGGTGAGAAAATAACTTCAACTTTTTCTATTTAAATGACGGCAACTTTATCCATTCAAAATTTACTCACTATCTCGGTTTTCCAGTTCTAGTACTCGTAATTTTCCTGATATAATATGGTAAATTGATTTTCATAGTTTTCTCCATTCCTTTGACTTTTTGTCCAGACAATCGGCGACATAACCTGAAAATTGCTTTAAAATGAATGAACATATTTCCTTTCAGAAACCTTATGCCCAGCATTTCATCCAAAATGCCAAACTAAATTATGTGCTGTCCACTTGTCTTTTCTTTTCAAGATGGTGTCCTCAGTTGAAGCAACTTTTGTTTTCTGCAGTATGTTTGTGGTTTCTTTTGTATTTTCCATTTTACCACCTGCAAATAGCTAATATTTGAGTAGAACTGCTTGTTGATGCGTTATGCCTTAGGATCAAGGGTTACTAGTGCAAACTTAGGATGCATACGCAAATAAGCACACAAAAAGCTCAAAATTTGCAATTGCCTACTATCAATTTTGGTAATGTTTAATCTTTTAATACTACTAAAAAACACACAATACTCGTGTCAAGCAATATTTCAAAGATGATCTAAAATATATAATTTAGCAAGAATTCTGATAAAGCAATAAAATCGTGCAATGAATAGGATTTACACAAAAAATAAAAATAAGGGATTGTAACCAACTTGATCATGTTACAATCACACATGATTAATAATAATAAAGTATATAGATGAAAAAGAGATCGTCAGTAGAAGTCACCAAGAAGATTTAGGCCCAATGTGGGTATAAGAAGTTTCCTGGGTAGTTTTCATCAAGACTTGAACTGCCCTCGAAGAATTCATATCGGCATCGCCTTGAAATTTTGAGAGGAAATCTATATTTTATCAAGCATAAACTTAATTTTTATGTCTAATATCTTATTTATCATAAATAAGACTCTTAATTTGTAATTTTCGCAAAACTTAATAATCCTGCCTAACTGTAATTTCGAGTAAATCATCATTAAAAAAAACTCCATTATTTGTACAATGCATAGAGTAGTAGGATTAGAAATTAGAAAAAGAAGCAGCAGCAGAACACTAGTGCGTGCACAATAACTGCTTCCCGAGTCCCTCTATAGTGGAAAACCACATATAGGAGTAAACAAACAAAACATAATACTTAGGATTCTCTGCTATGGTGAAAAACTGAAAATAAGAGGAAATAGTCAGTTGAAGCCCTTGCAAAAAAAAAAAAAAAAAGTCAAGCATAAAAAAGGAATATCTAAATTAACATAGTTCTATAGGAAACCGGCTTTAGCAACAAAATATAACAAATAATAGCGCAAAGTTCTCATGAAGCCATACTGTATAGCGCATGTTGTGAAACACTATTTTGAAATGGAGCAAAATATCAAAAAATAATTTTGGAGAATTTAACAATATAATAGATCCTGAAGTAAAAACTCACAATTATTATGATATGATTAAAATATAAGATTACTTTAACATAAATCTTGGTTAACAAAAGATAATTAGATTGGAAATAAAAATAGTTAGAATTGCAAATAAAATTATCACCGTTGTAATAATGTATAATTAGGGATGCAAACTAACCGAGCGTTCGACATGCTACTTGTGGCTCGACTCGATTATAGTTCGTTCGTGACCGTTTGATTAAGTAATTAAACAAGCTTGAACTTTTTTTTTTAAACAGTCGATGATTAAATAAATAAGCTTGAACAGCTATGCATTTGACTCGTTTATGTTCATGAACAACATCGTTTGAAGATCATGAACATGCTCGATACGAAGGTCGATAAGAAACTCGTTATGAAACTTGTTTCTTGTTTGATATGGAGCTCGTGAGAAAACTCGATTAATGTTTGATATAAATATTGATTAAGTCTGATTGTAGATTAAGTTTGTTCATGATCATAATATACTTTCTCATGTTTGATAGATTGTTTGATTTTAGTGTTCATTAATGTTGACCTGCTGAATAAAAACAAAAAAATGAGATCGTGCGTACCTGTCCAAAACCATCCATCGCACGTTGCTCGCACATCCACGACGCTCCTCCCACGTCGCACGACCTAGCGTCGTTAAATAGCCAAAGAGAGGAGGCCTTCGGCCTCTCTCTTGCTCCCGTTCTTTCCCTCCCTCGTCGCTACTCGACTTCGCTCCTTCTGCAACTTCACCTCCAGTCGGGTCGGAAGTTACAACTTTTATCGGAGGCGACAATGGGAGCTACACTTGCTGCGAAGGTCCTTTCTCCCTTGCGTACGCTTCTTTGGCTTCTCCGTGGCCGACTGACCTCGCCCCAGCGACGACTTTCCCTTCCAGTCGATCGGAAGTTACGACATTTTGGTTGGAGGCAACACGGGAGCTCGCTCGCTGTGCAAGAACTTTCTCCCTGTCGCGCGCTATCCGACCCCGCCCTAGTGACGACTTTCCCTTCCAGTCGATCGGAAGTTACGACACTTTGGTCGGAGGCAACGACATGAGCTCACGGTTGTGAGGTTAACTTTCTCCCTTTGGCATGCTTCTTCGACCTCATCCCTAAATCTGTCGAACCAAAGGATTTTTTTTAAAGTTTTTTTTTAAACATAATTTTAGTTATAATTATATTAATTAATTATAATTAGTTATAATTATTATTTTTTAATTCATTTCTAACTTAAACCCCGCACTCGACGCTTGCGACGAGCCGGCAAACCCCCTACGTGCTCACGTACCGTAGTAGGGAGGGAAACTGGCACGGCGCTTGCGACGAGGTGGGTAATCCCTGGACCGCTCATATAGCGCGAGGGAGATAAAATTAAGTACCCACACGTGGGGAAATCCTTGTGTTTCTTTTCAAAACGTGCCGAAGACCCTTAAACACTCATGTAGCGGGCGGGGTTAAAGAATTTGCGGCCGCGGTATCATTAGACACCTACTTGAAGCGCTCAAGTTGTGACGAGGGGAAGGCTAGTCTCTCGGATTTTCTCCTAAACAGGGGAAACGTTGGGAGGTTGCCGAAATTCTGACTGAAGACACAGTAGACTTGAGCAAAATTTGGGCTTACATGTGAACATAATTTGGACAAATAAAGTACTTGAATTGGACATTAATGAACTAAGTGCAAACTTGAATGAAAGCCTTAATTCAAACTTAAATCAAACACGATCAAATGATGATGGTTTTGGACTCAAATTGAACTGGGTTTGAACTCAAATGAACTCAAATCTAATTGAAAAAGAATGTGAGCTTGGACATTTGAACTCAAGCAAATACTTGAGTGGGACTACAGGGGACATAGAACTTGAGCTTGTGGACTTGATTGAACTCAAACTAAGGAAAGGACATAAACTTGGTGATAAGGACTTGTCGATCCGAACTTAAACCATAATTGGAGAATCAAACTTTAATTCAATGGGTGTATAATCACCTCAAAATCCACAAGTAATGATCATTAAATTTAATGACACAAGCTCTCAATGGATATAATTTTCTTATAATCAAATGAAAGATGTGTGTGACCTCATCATACATGTTGCAAACGACATGTGGAAACAAGGAGTTTACAATTATAACATGATTACAAGCAATGAACAATCTTTATATGATCTAGTCACAAGTGGGGGCACAAGGACATTCCACTGAATGTTGCAGCTCATATGCAAGGTGACTTACATACAAGTGATGACGAAACTCAAGCAATTGAGTGATTCAGAATAATTTTCAAAGACATGAATACACTAATCCTCTTGCAAGCAACAATAGTGGATGGGTTGTAAGTGTGAAGAATTCCTTCGTAGGTGTAAAAAGGAGAATTATCATGCATACGATGTTCTACCTATGAATAAAATGCAAACGTCCATGAGTGACAATGGATGATTCAGCTGAATGGTGCAGAGTAGTAATATCTTGCATTGGAGAAAGCAAATAGGAGTCTACAATTAAAACTAAAAAGAAGCAAACAAAGAGTTGAATTGAAGAACCATTTCAATCTCTCCCTCATGCAAATTCAAATCTCATTGCCCAAAAGAATGACCTGATCTCTCAATTAATAAGCATTCGGCAGAGTCTTACAAATCTGGAGACTACACATGTTGCATAGGAAGACCAGCACTTAGATCTAGTGAAAGAAAAAGACCTATCCGTTAACAGAATTTTGAATCTTGAAGTCTTATTGAGTGTTATGCAGAAAGAGCATGAATCACTTATCCACTCAAAGAATATTAACTCGGACACCTTGGAAAATCAGCTTCATCCTTTGCAAGAAGATAAGCGACATCAAGGAGTCAGAGTTGAAAAGTAGAAATACAAATCCTTTATCTAATCAAGTGAAATTAACAACAATCAAGAGAGAGTTATGGTTGGGTCACAGATAGATCATGAAGCACTCCAGTAGTAGCTTGATCCATCAAGGTGTATCTAAGCAGTCATTCATAAAAGCTGCAGTTCATTACTAGTGCTGAAGATTAGTGTGCAATGCATGTGATTATGAACTACAATCTACATCAAGATACAAGCAAATGCATCTAATCCTACAAATGATGAAATTGGTATGGATACTCATCAATGAAGTGGGAATGATATGTAATCAAAGCAATAGGTGTAATTTATGCTTTATATCGATTCAAGTAGAGGAGCTCCTACGAGCTACTTTAGGAGACCCCTATGCATCTGATTTAGCCTCCATGAAGAAGATATTTAATACATACGGGTTCTCTACGAACACAGATGTATGCACCACATTCCACTTGTGGATAGATGTAGAAAGACTTCAGCAAATATAGTATCCTATAGTCAATTTTAGTTTGCGAATTAATACATCTACCTATGACAGTAGCAGATGTACTGCAGGGACCAAAGACCACAACAAAATGCATAAATAATGGGCAAACGCAAGTTCCTACGAACTACAACAGAAGACATTCAATAAGTGTAAGGTTTTACAAGTAAAAGCAGGAGATTCGTTAGTGTACTACAATCTACCTGCGTAAATCATGCAAGTAGTGCACGACAATCTACCT